TTTACTTCTTTCTTTCCCATTTGGATACCTTTTATTTATTTATTTTTTCTTGTCTGAGTGCTGTGGCCAGAACTTCCAATACTATGTTGAATAAAAGTGGTGAAAGTGGGCATCCTTGACTTGTTCCTGATCTTCAGAGTAATGCTTTTAGCTTTCCCCATTGAGTATGATATTAGCTGTGGATTTGTCATATATGGCCTTTATTATGTTGAGATATGGTCCCACTATTCCCACTTTGCTCAGAGTTTTTATCATAAATGGATACTGAATTTTGTCAAATGCTTTTTTCTGCATCTATTGATATGACCATATGATTCTTATTTTTCATTTTGTTTATGTGGTATAGCACATTAACTGATTTGCAGATATTAAACCCACCTCGCACACAGGAATGAATCCCACTTGATTGTGGTGTATGATCTTCTTAATGTATTGCTGAATTTGGTTTGCTAATATTATGTTGAGGATTTTTTGCATTTATGTTCATTAGGGATATCAGACTATGGTTTTCTTTTTTGGTAATGTCTTTGTCTGGATTTTGGAGTCAGGGTAACGGTGGCCTTGTAAAATAAGCTTGGGAGCCTGCCCTCCTCTTGGACTTTTTGGAATAGTTTGAGAATAGGTGTTAATTCTTTTTTGAATGTTTGGTGAAATTCACCTGTGAAGCCTTCTGGTCCAGGGCTTTTATTTGTTGGGAGCTTGTTGATTACTGATTCAATTTCATTGGTAGTAATCTGTCTGTTCAGATTTTCTGTTTCTTCTTGATTCGCCTCAGAAGATTGTATGCTTCTAGAAATGTATCCATTTCTTCCAGATTGTCCAATTTGTTGGTGTATAGTTGATTGTAGTATTTTCTTAAAATTTTTTGTATTTCTGTGGTGTCAGGTGTCACTTCTTTTCATTTCTGATTTTATTTATTTGCGTCCTCTCTTTTTTTCTTGATGAGTCTGGTTAAAGTTTTGTCAATTTTGTTTATCTTTTAAAAAACCCCAGCTCTTGGGTTCATCGATCTTTTGTATTGTTTTTTTAGTCTCTATTTCATTTATTTCCACTCTGATCTTTATTATTTCCTTCCTTATACTCACTTTGGGCTTTGTTTGCTGTTCTTTTTCCAGTTCCCTTAGGTGTAAAGGGAGACTTTTTATTTGGGATTTTTCTTGTTTCTTTAGGTAAACCTTCATTGCTATAAATTTTCCTCTTAGGACTGCTTTCACTGCATCCCATAGATTTTGAATCATTGTGTTTTCATTTTCATTTGACCCAAGGTACCTTGATTTCTTCCTTGATCTTATTGTTAGCCCATTCATTGTTTAGTACCATGTTATTTAGTCTCCATGTGTTTGATTTTCCATTTTTTTCCTTGTAATTGATTTCTACTTGCATACCATTGTGGTCAGAGAAGACACTTAATATAATCTCAATCTTCTTAAGTTTATTGAGACTGGTTTTGTGGCCTAACATGTGTTCTATTTGTAAAATGTTCCATATACACTTGAAAACAATGTACATTCTGCTGCTTTGAAGTGTAATGCTCTTAAAATGTCAAATATTGTCATTATTTTGCAGATGACATGACACTATATATAGAGAATACCAAGGATTCCACCAAAAACTAATAGAACTAATAAATGAATTTAGTAAAGTAGCAGGGTACAAAATTAATATTCAGAAATTGGTTGCATTTTTATACACCTATAACAAACTATCAGAGAGAGAAATTAAGAAAACAATCCCATTTACAATTGCATCAGAAAACATACCTAGGAATAAATTTACCCAAGAAAGTAAAATACCTGCATTAAAAAAATTATAAGACATTGAAAAGGGAAATTAAAGAAGATATAAATAAATGGAAACATATACCATGCTCATGGATAGGAAGAATTAATATAGTTAAATTGACCATACTACCCAAAGCAATACATAGATTCAACACAATCCCTATCAAAATACCAGTGGCATTTTTCACAAAACTACAACAAATAGTCCTAAATTTAAATGGACATAAGAGACCCCAAATAGCCATGGCAATCCTAAGAAAGAACAAAGCTTGGGGTATCATGCTGCTTGATATAAAATTATACTACAATGTTATAGTAATCAAAACAGCATGGTATTGGCATAAAATAGACATAGAGATCAACGCAACAGAATAGAGAGCCCAGAAATAAATCCATACCTAGATGGTCATTTAATCTATGATGAAGGAGGCAAGAATAAACAATGGGGTTGAGATAGTCTATTTAATAAATGGTGCTGGGAAAACTGGACAGATAAGTGCAAAAACAAAGGGAACTGGACCACCTTCTTATGCCATATTCAAGAATAAACTCAAAATGGGTTAAAGACGTAACTGTAAGACCTGAAACCAAAAAACTCCTAGAAGAAAATATAAGAAGTAAAAAGTAAACTCTCAGACATTAACTTGAGTAATATTTTTACTGATATATCTCATTGGGCAAGGGAAACAAAAGAAAAAGTAAACAAATGGACTACATCAAACTAAAAAGTTTTTTCACAGCAAAGGAAACCATCAACAAAACAAAAATACATCCTACTGAATGACAGAAGGTATTTGCTAATGATACATCTGATAAGGGGTTAATATCCAAAATTTGTATAAAAAAGTCATACAACACAACACCAAAAACACAAACAATCCAATCATAAAATGGGCAAAGGACCTGTACAGACATTTCTCTAAAGAGGATCTAAAGATCGCCAATAGACATATGAAAACATGCTTAACCTCACTAATCATTAGAGAAATGCAAATAAAAACCACAATGAGATACCACCTCACCCTGGTCAGGATGGCTACCATCAAGAAATAAAAAAAAAAGTGCTGGAGAGGATGTGGAGAAAAGGGAACCCTCGTGCACTATTGGTTGGATTGCAAATTGATGCAGCCTTTATGGAAAACCGTTGGGAGGTTCCTCAAAGAATTAAAAATAGAACTACCTTATGACCCAGCAATTCTACTCTTGGGTATTTATCTGAAGAAATCAAAAACACAAATTCAAAAAAAATATATGCATCCCTATGTTTACTGTATATGTTTGAGTAACACTACTCAACAATAGCCAAGATATGGAAACAACCAAAATGCCCATCAATTGACAATTGGATAAAGAAATTCTGGTACATATATACAATGGAGTATTACTCTGCCATAAAGAAGAATGAAATCTTACCATTTGCAACAACATGGATGACCTAAGGGATATTATGGTAAGTGAAATAGTCAGACTGAGAAAGACAAATACCATATTATCTCACATATATGGAATCTAAAGAACAGAATAAATGACCAAACAAAACAGAAACAGACTCATAGATACAGAGAACAAACTGATAGTTGCTAGATGGGATGGTGATTGGGAGGATGGATGAGATAGGTGAAGGGATTAGAAAGTACAAAATAGTAGTCACAAAATAGTCATGGGGATGTGAAATACAGTATGGGAGAATATAATCCATAATATAAAGATCATGTAGGGTGTCAGATGGGTACTAGACTTATCAGGGGGATCACTTCATAGATTATATAAATGCATAACCACTGCACTGTACACCTGAAACTAATATAAAATAATATTGAATGTCAACCATAATTTTATATATATGTATATGTGTGTGTGTGTGTGTGTGTGTATTATATACATGTATATGTATATATATATTCGTATATCTCACGGGATGTAAAGTACAGCATAGGGAATACAGTCAATAGTATTGTAATAAGTAGAGAGTGGGAATGGAATCAATGGAATTGTAATAGATAAGCATGATATCGGGGGTGGGAGGGCAGTAGATGGGGGGAGGGGGGTTGTTACTTTGTGAGGGTGAAAAGTGTAACCTATTGCATTGCTCTGTACACCTGAAACTAACAATAAAAAAAATAAAAATAACTACACATAACATTCCAAACCCCCCCCCCAAAAAAACCCATATGAATTAAATGTATTTTACATATAAAAAAAATGATTTTAGTGCTTTCACCTAATTCCTGGTATGAGTATGTACTCAATAAATAATATGTATTATTTGTATCTTTCTAAAAAAATAGTATTGTAATAGCTCTGTACGATGTCAGAGGGGTAGTAGATTTGGTGTGGTTATCGCTTGGTAAGGGGTTTAAATGTCTAATTATTATCTGAAACTAATAAACAAAGAAAGAAAGAAAAATCAGCTTGCCCAGTAGGGACCCGGTAGAAGGTGTGGTACAGGGCTCATTCCCTCAATATTTAGCAATATATCTGGTGTCCCTCATACTTGACTTAGCCAGGTAATGAAACTCCAGACTTTTTGAGTCATCAAATGCAGCTCCTTCTGCCCACTCCTTTTAGTGACGGTTTGTTGTGGAAGCGGGGGGAGGGGCTCCATTGAGCAGCTGGATGGTCCACTTTTCTTTTTTTCCTTTCAGTTTATGGCCTAACAATATTTGATGAGTCTTGAATCCAATTAAACAAACACTAATTTGTGCCTGTTCTGTGCAAGGCGTCAAGACTGGGCCTCACAGTGATACCAGGAGAATACATTCCACTAAGGTCTGTTCATGCCTGCTCTGTGCCTGGCTAGTGCTGGCTCCACCTGGAAACGACCTGGTCCTCATCCCAGGTCCCTACCTTTGCCTAAGGGGAGTAAGACAAGTGCTCAAGCCATTAGGACACAAAACAGAATGAACTTGGAGATCAAAAGCAAGCACAAAAACCATGGAGTGCAAGCTGGGGGAACAGCACTTCAGCAGCAGCCCCTGGAGACTTCAGGGGGGCAGCAGCATGGAGGTTCTGGGAAAGGCTCAGAGGTTGCCGAGTGGAGGGGGGCGGGAGAACAGCACAGTCACACAAGCCAGAGGCAGGCAGGGAATCAATGGATGCATTTAGAAGGGCCAGGAGCCCGGTTTGACCAGAGTAGTAGGTGACCGGGGATCTGGAGCAGGAAACAAGGTTGCACAGGTGAGAGGTGCCAAACAGAGGGTTTCTCAGTGAGAGCTGCAGTTACAGCAGGATAGGCAACAGGGGTCCCTGGGGGAGAAGCAGGAGGGTCAGTGTGGGACTTGAGTTTAGAACACTCCCTTTTCTGGTGCTGAGAGGGCAGAGGTTCTATGGGAGAACACTTCATGAGAGATTGGGCTGCCTAAGGAAGAGACCTCATGGACACTCTTTGGAAAACAAATTTTGCAGCTGTCCAGGGGCTGAAGCATGGGGAGTGGAAGTAGGGCCCTCTGGGAGTCAGATCTGAATGGTCTGGGGGCTTCCAGTTCTGAGTAAAGAGAGGGATTTATATATGTGCCCTGTGCCCATGCTCACGAGCAGAGAGTGGGACATGCGACCGAGACTTGACACCCAGGTAGACAGCTTCCTGGGGGTGAAACACAAAGCCTGGCACACGAGAGAGACAACGTCAGGCCTGACAAGAGCATCTGAAAGTCCTAGCATTGTTTTCTGTCACAACTCCCATCTCCAATTGTCCACACAGCAGAATGGGCTAGAGGTCATCCAGGGAGCTTGGTTCTTCAGGCCTAGGAGAACTTAAACACAGCCTTCTCTGCTTGAACGTATATCAGCCTTCTTCCTCGCTAAGCTCCTCCATGAGTCCACCGAGACCCATCTGGCTCAAGCTGCACACCCATGCTCAACTTTGCATACCAGTTCCCAATATTCTGAGGCCACTCTTTATTCTTACCATGCAGGTCCAAGCACACTTTGTTCCCCCCACTGATATGTCTTTCCCATGCGTCCTCCTTCAGGGCTCGGTTTCAACATCACCTGCCTTGAAAAAACACAACCCACCACATAGAACTCTGAGGTGGGAGTAAGGGGCAGGACTGGGACATGGCACTCAAGCTCTTTTCCGGACCAAAATCTCACAACCACGTGGGTTTATTCATCCCACACACACCTCCCAGCAACCACTCACAGTAGGGACCTGGCTGGGAGCCTGTCCTGACATCAGACATCCCAAAAAATTGCTCCCATCCCACCCAGCCTAACTCCAGAAGCTGCCTGAATTGAAAAGCTTCTGGCCCTATGTGGGTCATAGCCTAGGCAAACCAGGCCACCAGCAGCCCCTGACAGAAAGGAACAACCACCAAGCCAGGAAAACTGCATCAGAGAGAAATCAAAGCACATTGCTTCAATGAAGCCTTCCACTCCCAAGACACAGAAGCAGCGACAGGCTGGTGACACATACCTGATACTCCGGGAGCCTTCTCCTTCAGACCTGCAACGAGAGAGAACATGTGCTTAGAATGACAGTACCCTCTGCTCCGGGAGACCCACACATACATTATTGTGCAGACATTGAGGTCCCCAGCTATCCCGGGATCCCTTCTCCAGCCTCAGCAGACTGCCCCCAGCCCACCCCTGGGTCTCACATTGTCCTTCTTTTGACCTGGAACTCCACCCTGAAAGTCTCCTCCCCTTGGAAGCTCATTTCCCACACCTTCTAGTGCCCATGACCTTGACTGCTATTGCTTGCCCAGGATCTGAACATCCCAGGAGTTGGGGAGTGACCGCAGAGATGGGGCTATGGTCCAAAATTATATGCTTGGACTCTGCAAGGCAACAGCTGACTGACTGACTGACTGAATGTGAACGAATGGGGGCAGTGTGGCTGGCCTCACTGCATCCCCTACGTGGCATCTGCAGTGTATTTCCCCACTACCAGCTCTAGTTTCAAGTATCCAGAAGTCAATTGCACTGCTTTATAAGGGAGACAAGCCTGAATGTCAAGAAACTGGACAAGTAGATCATATCATGCACTAGAACTTTCAGAGAAATTGTAAAATACTCGGCATCCATCGATAGCAATGCCTCCCTGCTCTGTAAACCAAAGGGACTTCAGGATTAAACCACACGCAGTTGATGGCTAAAGCTACAGCTGGGCTTCCTGGGTCTGAAGGGGCAAAGGGCTCTGAGCAAACACATTCAGGAATCTAATCCGTACATGTCCAAAATTGGATTTTATTGCCACAGAGCTTGAGAAATAAAAACACACAACCCAAAGTCAGACAGCTTTTCTTTTGATAAGCTGCCTTTTCAGTAACTTTGCAGGCTAGCTGCACGGCCCTGTCAGCACACAAATGTCAGGGGATGGCTTCTCCTGTGAAACCAACCTTGCTGATCTTAGGAGACCATCCTGTGCCCTCTTCCTATGTCTGCCACTGCACTGACAGATGCCATCCAGGTTGTCATTCAAACTAATTGCCAGTCCAGCGCAGAACAGTTTCTCTAGGATGTCATCAAGGATTCCAAACACCTGCAGATGTCAGGGGTCCACGGCTCTCACCCCAGCTACACAACGACTGCCAGGGCCACAGGTCACTCCTTCTCACCACAGGTGACAAATGGGAAATAATGCTAAAGATGAGAACTATGGGGGACACTCCTTATTTGACCCTCACTATGCGCCCAGCACTGGGCTGGGCCCTGACATATTGATGATTTTTAATTATTGATGATTTTCACAGCAACCTGGTGGGTCCAACACTGTCCCTACTGCATAGCTGAGGGACCAGGGCTCCTGGAAGCTGTGTAAGTGCCATGTGTGCACAACCAGCCAGCACCAAGCCCCATTTTGAACCCCCATTTGCTGACTCTACACACTCTACTCACTGCTACGCCATTCTCATGTCAACCTCAGCAGCCCGCTAGCATGCTAGACTCCTGTTACAAGTCAGGTCAGAGGTGACGTGGGGCAGGTGATGAAAGGGGACATGGGCTCCCAGTGCTGCTATGCTGGCTCCTGATCTGGGTACTGGTTACCCAGGCACACCATTGTGACTTATAAGAAACATGTATTTGGTCATTCAGATGACCAAAATCTATTTCTCGTATATATATTTGGTCTTCATCTGTGGTTCCTGGCTCACAGCATCCAAAACCCCTGGAATTTCCTGAGTGATAAGAGCAATGGGAGCATCTTTTGTTACAACATTTGGTGTCTCATCCCCAGTTCCTGAAAACACGTCAGGGCCATCAAGGTGAAATGGGTGTCTTGTCACTCATAGCAAGCTTCTCTCACCACAGCCCAGCTTATGTTAAGGAGGTGACTTTTGGAAAGCACCTAGCATGAGGGCTGGTTTCCAGGGTACCAACCTTGAATAGAAGGTTGGAACTTTCAGCCCCACCCCTGATTTCTGAGGTGGAGACAGGGAGATGGAGGTCTATTCAATCCCCAGTGGCCATGAGTTAATCAATCATGCCTATGTAATGTAGTCTCCGTAAAACCCAAAAGGAGAGAGCTCAGCACATCCACATTGGGTAACCAGAACGCTTCCACATGGCACCGTGTGGGGCCCCAAACTCCACAGGGGCAGAAGTTCCTTTGTACAGACTGTCATCCTACAGATCTGACAATTAAGTTCGCAAACTTGTTGCAACGGTGTTGCTAACCTCTTTTGATGTCAGAGGGATTATTCATTATAAATTTGTACCAACTGGACAAACAGTTAACCAAGTTTGCTATTTGGAAGTGCTGAAAAGGCTGTGTGAAAAAGTTAGATAACCTGAACTTTTCGTCAACAATTCATGGCTCTTGCATCACAACAATGCACCAGCTCACACGGCACTGTCCGTGAGGGAGTTTTTGGCCAGTAAACAAATAACTGTATTGGAGCACCCTCCCTACTCACCTGATCTGGCCCCCAATGACTTCTTTCTTTACCCAAAGATAAGGGAAATATTGAAAGGAAGACATTTTGATGACATTCAGGACATCAAATGTAACATGACAACAGGTTTGATGGCCAATCCAGAAAAAGAATTCCAAAATTGCTTTGAAAAGTGGACTAGGTACTGGCGTTGGTGCATAGGTTCCCAAGGGTAGTACTTCGAAGGTGACTGTAGTGATATTCAGCAATGAGGTATGTAGTGCTTTTTCTAGGGTGAGTTCCTGAGCTTAATTGTCAGACTTATGCATCTCTTCATCTAGCTGCTGACTTGTATCCTTCAATATACTTTGTAATAAACTGGTAATTATACTGTTTTGCCTACTTTTGTGTATGTGTGAAGTGTTCCACAAGAAAAAGTAAAAAAACAAAACAAAACATAAGAGTAAGTGAATTTGGGTGCATGCATTCCTGGACTCCTGCCTGCTAAGTCAGGTGGTGAGAGAGGCACATGATCAACTATGGCTTCTTTGAAATGGACCTGGAGAGGCTGAGCAAACCATCTACCTCCCATAGCCATGTTACAAAGGTGGAGTCAACTCAGATCTATCGTCATGATCGCGGCACCCTTTGTCTGGGTGAGAGACCCTTCAGAGAATCTCATCAAAGCCATGGACCTCACGCCAGAAAAACATACCCTCAGTTGTAAACCCAGTCATGGAACCCTCGTGCACTGGCCACAAAGGAACAAAGCACAGACAGTGGCGTTTGGGACAGCTGCCCCTGATTTCCTCAGCCTTGTGTGCTTTTACCTGGCGTCTTAACCCTTTGGGGCTGTGCTGGCTTGGGGAAGGAGCTGGCCAATATGCACTTCAAGGTCAAGGTGACACATGAGGTGTCATCAAACAATATGGTGAATGCTGCTGCCAAGTGCCATCAGGATGATGTTAATTGTGTTTTTTGACCTTGCTGGAATTGTGCAAGCTGAGTTTGCACCCAGGAACACTAGGTGAACTCTGACTATTATAAGGGCTTATAAGAGCGTTTAAGAAACAATATGTGTACAAAACAGCCTGAGAAATGGACAACCAGTTTCATCCTCCATCATGACAATGCTCGGTGTCATACATTGCTTCTGGTATGGCAATTTCTGTCAAATAAAAATGTTACAATGTGTCCTCATCCTCCTTGTTCACCATATCTGGCACCATGTGACTTCTGGCTCTTTCCCAAAGTCAAAATGATTCAGGACACTGAGGCAGCCACGACAGTACAACTAAAGACACTCAGGAAAGAGGACTTTCAGAACTGCTTCAGAAAGTGGCCAGAATTATGGGACAAGTGTGTTTGAAGTGAGGGGGAGTGTTTGGAGGGGGATTCATGACAATGTGTCTTTTACTGTAATATTTTTTTTATTTAAACATTACCGTATTTTTGGATCACACCTTGTATAGCCTAAGAGATGGTGCCAAACATAAGAGGTGGCAGTGTTTACTGAAGCACCCAGCCAAGAGAAGATAGGGTCTGTGTGGTCACCAGGAGTGGGGAAATGGGGAGATGCTGGCAAGAGAGTACAAAGCTGTAGTTATGTAGGATGAACAAGTCTACAGATGTAGTCACAGCATGGTGACTGCAGTGAGCACTGCATTATACACTAGAAATTTGCTGAGAGTAGATTTCAGGTGTGTGCACCACACACACACACACACACACACACACACACACACACACACACACAAACATTGGGTTGTCGGAAAAGTCATGATACATGTTTGCGACAGATGGCACTAGTTCATTTTTGGAAGTACTAGAGTTATTCGCATCTATGTTATTGCTATGTCATTTGACAGCTGACAGTTCTAGCTTCATTCTAAAAAAAAAACTGGGCGATTTGGTTGAGTTTTGGATATTTTACAACAAATTGAAGATGGAAGACCAAACTGTGCATTTTTGCAATTTTTTACTGTTTTATTTCCTTCCATAAAGAGAAGAATGCGCGTCAAGCTTGTGAAAAGTTGCATAAAGTTTACGGTGACAATGCTCTACAAGAATGTCAGTGCCAATGATGGTTCACCATTTCCGTGCACGGTTCAAATTCCGTGCTGGTGATTTTGATCTCAACGACACCCCGAGGTCAGGGAGGCCCACTGAGGATGATGATGACAAAATAAAGGCATTGATTGAGTCAAACTCACATTATACGACACGAGAGATTGCAGAAACATTGAGCATCCATCATTAAAGCGTTCACAACCACCTGAAGAAGCTGGGATACATAAGCAAGCTAGATATTTGGGTTCCGCATGAACTCAAAGAAGCTCATTTGATGGCACATATAAACATCTGCAATATGCTCATTAAATGTGAGGAAAACCGTCCTTTTTTGAAGCGACTGATAACTGGTGAAGAGAAGTGGATTGTTTACAACAATGTGGTGCACAAACAGTCTTGGTCCCGACGTGATGATTTGCCTCAAACGACACTGAAAGCAGACATTCATCAGAGGAAGGTTATGCTCTCAGTGTGGCGGGATTTTAAAGGTGTCGTGTTTTTCGAGTTCTTACCAAGGCACCAAACAATCAATTCAAATGTGTACTGTCAGCAGTTGGGC